CGGCAGGGAAGCGCTCCCCAGCCCGGAGGACACAGCCCTGCAGCCGGTCACCCCGACCATGCAGCAGGGAACCAGCGCAGTGTCCCTGAGCCCCGCCCGGCTGGCGAGCAGCAGGGCCGCCGAGCTGGTCAGGGAGGGTGGCGAGGGCTCTCTGCAGAGGTCACCCGGGGAGCCCCTCAAGGCTGCCTGGAATCTCGGGGTCACTGCTCCCCTCGCCTGAGGGGGAGCCCCGGGGCCTGTCTGGCCGGGCGCCACGACCTCTGGGCGACCGGGAACCGCCCATTTCCCCCATCCCGTCTGAGCCGGGGGTGCCAGGCCGGCCAGCGGGCGAGAGCCCCCCGGGGCCGGCAGCTGCTCCCTGATCCGCACCCCGAGGCCTCGCCGGGCAGCGGGTGGTTCCGGAGCCGCCCCACGCGGAAGACGCTGGCTCGGGGGCTGCGCGGGTCCGTTCCTGGGCCCTGGCTCAGGCAGGCCTCGTTAGCAACGCCGGGAGCTGAGCTTCATTGCACTTCCCAAGCCGAGACTCCAGCCGGGGGGTGTGAAACTCAGCAGCCGCCTCACCCGGCACCTGCCTGCACCACCCTGCCCAAGCCCTTCAAAGGCGCCTCTGCCAGGCCTGGCTCTGGGCGCCCGGCCCCCAGGCCGAATCCAAGGGCACGTGAGGAACCTGCCAGGCACCAGCGAGTGTGCGTCAGTGCGCACACGCTCACACAGTGCGCCCACGCTCACACAGTGCGCACACGCTCCCACAGGCACACGCTCACACAGGCACACGCTCTCACAGGCACACGCTCACACAGGCACACGCTCTCACAGGCACACGCTCACACAGGCACACGCTCTCACAGGCACACGCTCACACAGGCACACGCTCTCACAGGCACACGCTCACACAGGCACACGCTCTCACAGGCACACGCTCACACAGGCACACGCTCTCACAGGCACACGCTCACACAGGCACACGCTCTCACAGGCACACGCTCACACAGGCACACGCTCTCACAGGCACACGCTCACACAGGCACACGCTCTCACAGGCACACGCTCACACAGGCACACGCTCTCACAGGCACACGCTCACACAGGCACACGCTCTCACAGGCACACGCTCACACAGGCACACGCTCTCACAGGCACACGCTCACACAGGCACACGCTCTCACAGGCACACGCTCACACAGGCACACGCTCTCACAGGCACACGCTCACACAGGCACACGCTCTCACAGGCACACGCTCACACAGGCACACGCTCTCACAGGCACACGCTCACACAGGCACACGCTCTCACAGGCACACGCTCACACAGGCACACGCTCTCACAGGCACACGCTCACACAGGCACACGCTCTCACAGGCACACGCTCACACAGGCACACGCTCTCACAGGCACACGCTCACACAGGCACACGCTCTCACAGGCACACGCTCACACAGGCACACGCTCTCACAGGCACACGCTCACACAGGCACACGCTCTCACAGGCACACGCTCACACAGGCACACGCTCTCACAGGCACACGCTCACACAGGCACACGCTCTCACAGGCACACGCTCACACAGGCACACGCTCTCACAGGCACACGCTCACACAGGCACACGCTCTCACAGGCACACGCTCACACAGGCACACGCTCTCACAGGCACACGCTCACACAGGCACACGCTCTCACAGGCACACGCTCACACAGGCACACGCTCTCACAGGCACACGCTCACACAGGCACACGCTCTCACAGGCACACGCTCACACAGGCACACGCTCTCACAGGCACACGCTCACACAGGCACACGCTCTCACAGGCACACGCTCACACAGGCACACGCTCTCACAGGCACACGCTCACACAGGCACACGCTCTCACAGGCACACGCTCACACAGGCACACGCTCACACAGTGCGCACATGCTCTCACAGGCACACACGCTCACACACGCTCACACAGTGCACACACGCTCACACAGTGCACACACGCTCACACAGTGCGCACACGCTAACCCCCCAGGGCATCGCATCCCCCTTCCTGCCTGCTGCAGCTGCTCAGCCCCGCGCTCCCAAGCACAGCTCAAGCTGTTTCCCCAGCTGACACTGCT